AAAGCCCTGCTTACTTCTCCCATAAATCCAAGTTTCTACAAGCGGTACGTAGACGACACTTTCACAATTCTACCTTTAGATAAAGTAACTGCATTTTTAGACCATCTTAACAATGGAGTTAGAGGCAAACAATTCCTTAGCTTTTCTAGATGTGTTAGTAATTCGGAATCCTGATAACACCTTGAGCCATACTGTGTATAGAAAAAAGACCCATACAGATAGATATTTAAACGGTGATTCTCACCACCATCCTTCACAGTTAGCTACCGTGGGTAAATCTTTGTTTCAGAGAGCACGAGGGATCTGTGACAGTAAACACCTGGCTGCCGAGCTCCAACATGTCAAGCAAGTTTTGCATGACAACAAGCTTCGGGTCCCGCGCCTACGTCACAGAGAACGAGTGAAGCCGGCCACAGTCGAGCGTGTACCTGCTGTACTGCCATATGTTAGAGGAGTCACTGACAAGATTGGCTACATCTTGAAGCGCGCTTCCATCAAAACATACTTCAAGCCGCCGAAGAAGATTGGTCAGTTTTTACCATCAGTCAAGTGTAACGTCCCTCTGCAAGATGCAGGAGTGTACAAGCTTGATTGTGAATGTGGTCTCTCCTACATAGGACAAACTAAAAGATCCATTAAAATCCGCGTCAAAGAACATATAGCTGATGTGAAGAATTGACGCTCCGGGAAGTCTGCAGTCTGTGAACATGTACAGGATCGCCCCCGTCACTACATCAGATTTGATAGATCACAAATCCTCGCTAAAGAACACCGATTCCTTCCAAGGATGATTCGCGAGGCTATTGAAATCAAAAAACATCCTAATTTCAATAGAGAAGATGGCTGGGTGCTACCATCTGCTTGGGATCCTATAATAAATTAGCATACAACTGCAAGACTCCATGATACCATAAGTTCATACTGTGTAGATCGGAACAAAAGTTAAATTTTAATCTATGGTAACCGCGGTTAACTATGACAGCTGGACGTTGAACATCTAAGTCCTTCCCGTGACCATGGGTGCTGTAAAGCTCTCGAAACGTCGGGTAATTAAAAAGTTAAATATACGCGATAAATTCCGTAAAAACTAGTATTATTTCAATATTTCACCATTAACTTAAAAGGTGACATTTCATGTTTAATTTTATTACGTTTTACGATACCATTTATTTTGATTTGATGTTTTGATAAATGTTAAAATTTTTGAGGTGTATAACAGGGGTTTTTATACAAAGAGATTTTTCCTGCGGTTTGAGTTCTATGCCTAAAATATAAATAATGAAATATTAATATCCTGGTCACAGTGCCACCATTTCCAGAACTTGTAAACTTTTTTAGCACTATATCAACACCTTAATGTATGAAAAAAAATGATGTTCGTTCACACTAGTCTCCGTAACCGCTCAACCAATTTTAATGAATTGTTGCAAATTATGCGAATAGATTGCTCCAACAAGGCTCCCTCAATATTTTTATTGTAAGTATAAGGATTTTTATAGAACAAAGGGCAGAACAACGTATGCGTGGCCAGCTGGTGCTGTTAGATCTTTTACATGGTACATCCATGCTGCAGCTATATTATTGTGGTTGTAGCACCCATACATGCTAACTGGAGAAAGAAAAACAGTTAAGTTACTGCTGGGTTTTTAATGGTGAATGTAAACAACCAAAGATCTTTTTTACTGAAACTAGGTTAATCAAAATACCCTCCCCACGCTATGACGAAATGTTTGCAGGAGGCTCAATTTCGACAGTAGACTTTAATAGGATGTAATGGATGGGACTGTTTTCGTGTTCTTAATATATATATATATATATTTTTTTTTATATATATATATATAAACAATATGGACTAACGTGCGCGCGGCTCACCTAATGGTGAGTGACTACCGCCGCGCCCATGAACAACTGCAACACCAAGAAAGTTGTGAATGAAGCGAAGAAATGCCGGTGCGTTTCCGGCCTTTTAGAAAGGAGTAAGCTCTTTTCTTGAAGGACCCTTAGTCGTATTGGTCCGAAAAAATCGCCGGTGGTAAAATATTCCGAAGAGGAGACGTACGAAAAAAAACTCCTTGTGAAATGTACAGTGGTGGACCGCCAAGCATCCATTTATCTACAACGTAAAGCTAGACGTGAGTATGTAACGAATAAAGGAGAAAACTTCTCCAGCTGCGGCCGCTTATAATATGCATAAAATAACTTGTTTGTCCATAAACCAGATGCGCTCTAGTTGAAGTACGTGGAATTTGTTTTCTTAAGTAGTAATTTTCATATTCACCGGGAATAAAAAACAAGGTGGCAAAGTGATCCATTTTAATACTTTATTGAACCTTTTTCATATTCATTTATACTTAAAAGTCTGGACCCATAGACTTGTCACGTTGTAGATAGGGTTTGATTGATGCCGAATTTTTTCATTTAAAAACGCTTCGTCTTTATTAAACTATGTATGACTATATATGAACAACATTTAACTATATATGAACAATGTAAAGCGTTTTCGTTTTAATTCCTCCCAAGTTGCTAAATGAATACTTAGTTATATAAAATGTTTTACATATACCTTGTATGTAACAAAAGGGATCGTTATGGTGAACGAAACGCTTCCTGAATATGGGAATCAGGCATTTATCGTAACGCTTGGCAGCCCTACTGCTGATCGTAGCACCCGACATCACGCACCTTTGATTCTGCCACTTGTTACCGGTTTAGGTATTTTAGATTTTTCAGTTATATTAGTAGTAGCACATATGGGCCGACTCGATCGTGGAAGGACCACGCTTTCACAGAATACCAGCTAAAATGGTAGCTTAATGCTGCTGTGTTTCGTATGGTGAGTGTAGAGAACCGGAGACCCTTTTTACTAAGAAAGGAAAAGAGGCATTCCGTCTTAGTCCTCACGAGTGACAACGTATCTGCATTTTGATTCGTAATCGAGGATAGATGTAGATGTCTATAGGCCACAGCAACCGCTTACCATCAGATGGACTGAGTGTTCGTTTGTCACCCTATCCTATTAGAAATATAGAACTAAGCAATTGTGTGTCGAACCAAATTTTGGCTATGTTTAGATTTCGTCTGTAAAAGATAACATTAATATATTTATTAATGCAGCAACAATTATCCATTACAAAATTTAATAATTATATAAAACCTTAAATACTAATGCTTGTTATTTATAAATTAATAAATAAGATTGTTTAGACATTGATTTGACCACCTGCTAAAATCTCACTGATTGCACAAATGTTACAAATAATTCTAATATGAATATTCTGTGACCCTGAAACAGTCTTTATATCATGCGATACGGTAACGGATCAAAGCATCCAAAACCACAACACGCATCTGGAATGCACTAGGGCATCTATGAAAGCAGGTTCCAGAAGCCATGTACAAAATACAATCCACCTTAGTATCATCTTAAATTATACGTGAGACTTTCATTGTAGTGGATAGACGGTACCTGATGGTAGGTTCTTATAATTTTTACAAATTCGTTTTTGTTGCCACTCTAGGCACACTGATTGGATGGATAGATAAATAGATCTGTTTATTTTATATCAAAACATTACATGAACGAAAGCAGAAAGAAAAATGGATGGATACTACAGTATCTAACAACTCATAGTTAATAATCATCCAGAATAGTTAATCCCACCATTATATACTAAACACACATATCTTAGGACTACTGAGTACTTTAGGACTGCCAACAAATCAAATAAAATAAATAAATAAACCTGTACAAAGAAACATATAAAAATTTGTAGCGAAGCAATTTCATAGTTTGCTGATTATATTTGTTCCAGATTTCGAGCGATGCTGTTGTGTACAATGTCGGTTGACCCTACACAAATATTTCTTTTTTTGTATTTGTATGGGATAATATATGGTTGTTTGAAGAAAAGATATTACGATACAACGATATTCGAAACGGTAAACTATGTAATTTTATATTGTCCACTCGAAGCGGATAACTCGGATCGGCGCTATACTTCGGGTCACTACCAAGTGGGTTCCTTTTTACACTTGGTTGACGGTTACTAAGCCCACCCCGCCATGGTAAGAAGGGAAATCGTTCGGGGGAAGGACTCGTACCACCCAGTAAATATTTAACTGAAAATATTTCAACTTTTTTGTTATTCCGTTAAGATTCTTTGATATTCAGTACCACAAGTCTCAAATCATTGCCAGGCTGGGTATTTTATAGCGTAGTGATTTATAATATACTCTTTGGTATTTTACACGGACTGAAATTCATGAGGTCTTTTTGGTATTTCTCATTTTTACACTTTACTTTTATTGACTATGTCTTTACAGTTTTGCTTTTACTTTTTTAATACCCTTAGAATAAATATAATAGTTTGCATAAGTACACTCATTAAATAAATTAGAATTTATTTATTTATTTAAGTAGCGCGATTAAACATTCTAATCACTTAGGTACTAATTATTACCATTCAGAAGAATCATTATTCAATTTTATTTGCTTTTCTTACAAATACTTCGGTAGCAGTAAGCAGGTAAATATCCAAAGATTGTCTGGAAGAATTCTCTTAACAATGAGGCTGCCCATTGCAACACATTCCTTTTTACCCGTTCTTTATTCCTATCTCTAACCAACAAATAAAGATAGACGAAGCCCTGTGTGCATTTGAAGTAACGGCCAAATTATACTCAACTTCTTGTCACACTGACACACACGTTTTTTTTTCTTTCTTTCTTAAACTTCACGTAAAATGTTAGTTGCTAATAATTTTAGATGCAGTGTTTATATGAGTACGTATTTTTACAGGAACTTTTAGCATTATTGCTCGGGTATGGTTTATATTTATATTTTTGTCTGGTAATAAATGCCATAGGATATTAATTCCGCTCTTTATATACCTTATTATAAGACATATAATAAATATTAAATAAACAGAAATAAAAAAAATGTTATCTATCTACCTATTTGTTTAATTAGGATTCGACATTATCTTTCGCGTTTATTTATGTTAATGGCTAACATTCATAACATTTTCTGATTCATACGTCCTTAAGACATCAAATATGTACGAAAAGAGATACTCGTTCATATGTCGACCTAAGAAGAAATCCGCGTGGTTCATTTTGCTACGCGGAATCACCAGGTGCTGTACCACGTTAGGAAGGTTCTGTTTTAATATCGCAACGTCTTCTACTGTTGATACAAAGTCGTTTTCCCCAACAAACAGGCCGACTCTCATTTTCACATTCTCCAACTCGTATTTCCTGGGGATCGGATATTCATACATATCTAAATTTATATCAGCCCCATAATCGAAGCGTGCGAACTGCCTTCTATAGCTCACTTGAGCGAAGTGATACAGATTTTTCACAGATGTTGCCGTTGGAAAATGGTCTAATAAAACTGGTAGAATGTCAGTTTCCAGTTCCTCGTCATTGTCACCAGTTATTGGGAACACCGTATCCCTAATGCATATGGAATACCCAGTTAATGGATTCATGCATAACGCTTTCAATGCATTCTTCACCACTGCGTTTTCTTTACAAGAGGTTTGTCCTCTTGTGCATGAAGTGATGTAGCCAGGTTGTGTATAATTGGTGAATATTGAATCACCACCTTCAATGGTGGTGGAACATTCTGAAGGTAACATACAGGTGCCAGTAACACGAGGACGTTAACCTTTTGATTGTACTCTGGTCTTGTGGAGCCGAGTACATAGAACATGGTGGTTCCCTGAGAATGTCCAATAGCAACAAGTTGTTCGGCGCCAGTTATGTAAAAAACAGTATTAATTATCGCGGCTAAATCGTAAAATCCGTATTCGTGGAAAGAAAAGTTCCAGAAGTCTTCGTCAATGTTGGGGTCGAGGTAGATGTGACGTCGAGAATATCTGTTGCCTCTGCAGTTGCCTAGCCACACGTCATAACCCTGATTCGCAAGTGTTATGGCCAGTGATGTATTACCTCTTATTATCCAAGTGTCCTCCTTCTTTCCTCACTCGGGGAATCCGAAACAACCGAAGAATGTAACCGTCTTCAGTGATGGCAACTTATAATTGTGTAGTATATCCATATTTTGAAGCGATCGCTGGGAAACTTAAATTTTCTTCTTTAGCCAGGCCTTGGGCTATTACGTTTTTCATCAGCACAACGCAACAGACGAGCAGCACGGTGATCTGTCTCATTTTGTCAGAAACCAATGTCAATTACCGATATTCCTCTTAAATTATATTGCCATTTTATTGCAGTTTAATCGTTCTTATGTGAGTCGTATCCGTAATTCATAAGGGACCTTTTACAAATCTCGACTAAGTATTATATAGGTTATTTATTCTTATCGTCTGCCATAAAACAGGATATAATAAAAATTCTTGTGCAATCTACATTCATCCGCCCTTGTATGCATAATTAGTTTGTCAATATAGGTAGTTGGATATTGCTCTAGACTGTGTTTTTATGTGTGTTTTATATGTTTGTGGCTCACCTGATGTTAATTGACTACCACCACCCATGAATAACTGCAATACCAAGGGGAATTGCAAATGCGTTACTGGCCTTTTAAAAAGAAGAAGATTTTTAAGTCGTCTCGGTTCGGAGGTTGTGCGAGGAAGAAAACTTCTCGTTAATCACACAGTAGTGGACCGCCAATCATTTAGGTTCTAGATGGTAGAGATGGTATAGCGAGTTTTGTCGCGATGTGCGATGGTGAAATAAAGCAGCTAGAATTAGTCTAAACAATTCCAATGAGCACTCACTGTGGTAGATGTGAAAAAATACGCAAAGAAATGCAACATTTCTTCGCAGCGGCAGTGAGTCAAGCCGAGACAGTTACTCAAGAACTTTACTTCCTCATCGGTTGATAAATTTGCCTTTGTTCTGGTTGTATGAGTTTCCTTATTTCGTTGTATTATGTCTTTAATTATCATTTCATACGTTCTTATTTTAAATTAACTGTTCCCGCGACATGCATAGCATTAAATCAGTAAAGTAACAATTAAACACACGCATAGATACATTATAACAGTTTTCCTTGGTGACAGCGACAACTCAGACTCAGGTCAGTCACTCGAACGATGCGCATATTATATAATCTGAAATAACGTAACCATTATTATTAAATTTATTAAGTTTAAAAGCAAGTAAGTAACAATAATATAATCAAAATTACTTATAATTATATAAAATGTAATGCCATATAATTGTTAATATGACGTAGCATCTCTTTTTGAAGCAAAAGACTGGAAATTTTCACATTTTTGTAGAACATCGAATCGATTTAGTAGACTATGTCCTGTCCCTATAATTTACAACACTAATTGCAGCCGAACTGCTAACTCCAGTGAAATTAGTGTTATTGTTTGCACAGACTGCGTGGGCTTGTACTTTGCAGATAAGAATGATTACGTATGACTACTTCTATCCGGTCCGACGGTGATGCGTTTTTCTCTATAGTGTCGTAAGAGATAACAAAATTAACGAAACGAGTAATGGGCACCAACATTTTCTTAACAACTGTGTAAAATAATATAAAACCGCAGATGTCAACCTCCCTGCTAATTGTGGAAACAAAAAGACATTTACCTTCCTCTTCTCATCTTCCTCTACGAGGTAATTTGATGGAAGTGTCCTACCTTATGAAGAATCTAAGGGACACCTAGGCTCAGCCGTGGACTTTTATTATTTTTTGATTATCTAGTTAAAATTTTTTACTTAGGTTTTTGCAATTCAGTACAACTTTAATAGATTGTATTGTTAATACTTATATAATTTACACTATACTATAAGTTTCAGGCTACTAGCCGCAAATCGGTTAGGCTGCAGTGTCAGAGGCTTAGGTACAATCAAAACAATTACATGCAAAAACAAATTTATTACCTTGCACAGTTGCTCCAGTTTGGATATATTTATAGAAGCGTCGCTAATAAATGAGCTTTAAATCTACTAACCCTCTCGTCGAACAATACCAAAATATAAATTCTTTGTCACCCATAATGACTAAGACAATGTCCTCTTAATTTCGGTCCCGGCGGTCATTCCCAAGGGAGGCTAGCCATCTGCGCGGGATAGGATTAAAGTGCACGAAGTAGGCCAAGTGCAGGTGGACTCTCTATTTTCTTATTATCATAGTCTGATGGGACGACAATCTGACATAACCGAGTAACGATTAGGCACGGAGTCTATGATTTTACATGCTCTGTGATTCCCAACACGGGGCTGTTACTTAAAATTTCACATGATGAACGAGGTTTGGACTAAGACAGAATGACATGCACCATTACAGCATTATGGATCTATTTCACATTGGTTAAATTTGACTGCGCTATAATAATGTTAAATAATTTGTGTAAAAGTTTCCTAATAATTGACGTCTATAAAGGACAACATGTACTTTAAGGTGCTAGCTAATTACTATATTCTCCAACAAATTTGGTTTGCTATCTATCTAACACTAATGGTTATTTTGTACTGGTTTACTTTAACACACAAACAATGACGGCGTTCATTTCTGTCTTCAGGGCGGTGACACTTATGAATGAGTTGATAGGTTTAATTTAAGATAATATTAGTCGAGCTATATAATATAGCTGGCCTAATACTACTTCAGCTTACTGATCCGTTGGGCCATGTTATCCATGTTCTTTATGGATATCTTCATTACAAAGTCTATTATATAGAAATATTCCTGAGCTAGCATTTTCCATAGCTTGGTGAGCGACTTTGAGCTTTCTCATACGACCAAAAGTGAAAAAGCATGTTTAAGATCAACTTATTTTATTGATTAATTGCGTACTGTAAAATTTTATTTAGAGAAGTGCCGTGTGCTTAGTAATCGAACGTAAATAGGCTGTGTCTATACTTTTACTTTACTACACATAAATTTATTTATTTATTTCTTTTAGGAAGGCTTACAGACTAATATCTTCCTAAAGTTACAAAATGGTGATAAAAATTGCTAATCACAAGCCTCCACATATTACTTTCTTCCAACTTTATACAAATTTAAAAATACTGTAGGTGTGCTGCGCACACACATGTAAACTTCGCAATGTTGTATTGTAACTATATTATGTAGTGAATAAGATTTTTTCAACCAGTCACTAGTTGCCCGCCAACTGTATGGCACGTTCCGCTATAATAAATATATTAGTAAAAGATTTCATCTTTCATTATGGTCACCAATAGGCACCCATATGGAGTCAGCTCCTAAACTGGTGACCCCGACGTGATCAAGATGACCGAAGTGGTCTATGTGATGTTAATGCAGTAGTGGGCAATATTCGAGTGGTTGTGATCGGTGGACAATAGATATAGTAACATGAGTGCGCCGTTTCCGCCTACGTCACAGAACGTGCCGCCTGTTAACGTGCCACCCGTTCAAGACATCCAGCCACCTGCGCAACCGCCCATTATGGCGCCAGGTGTAGATGCAGTGTCCCTACAGTCTCGCCTCGCAGACTTTTGGACGGACCAGCCACGCGTATGGTTCGTACGCACGGAAGCTATCCTCGCACCTCAGAGGTTGAGTGATGAGGCGAAGTTTGACCTGGTCGTGTCTAAGCTAAGTAAGTGTCTGTTTTACCAGCCGTGAGAAAAGATCGTCTAAATCAGTGTAGTGAATATAAATTATACGCAGCTAACGGCAATGAAATCGCAACTTACGGTACCAAGACAATAGTGTTAAACTTAAACTTACGCCGACCTTATCGTTGGGAATTCGTTGTAGCAGATGTCAAACAACCAATTTTGGGCGCCGATTTTTTAGCGTACCACAAACTATTAGTTGATTTAAACGCGCGTAAATTAATAGATAAAACTACAGAATTGAATGTTTCGGCATCTGTTGTCAATGTATCTCAACCTAGTGTTAAAACTATTGATGTAAATCATCCATATCAGGATTTATTGTTAAAGTATCCGGACATCACTAAACCAGCGTCATTCCGAGAAACTGCGAAACACGATGTCGTCCACTATATCGAGACCTCTGGCCCGCCCGTGCACGCGAAAGCGCGCCCGTTGCCACCTGACAGGTATAAAAAAGTTAAAGAAGAATTTCGCATCATGCAGGAACTGGGCATCTGTCGTCCTTCAAAGAGCGCGTGGGCTAGTCCGCTCCATGTAGTTCCTAAAAAGAATGGAGATATAAGACCTTGTGGGGACTATCGCCAGCTGAATGCGATAACAAAGCCCGACAGATACCCGATTCCTCGCTTGAACGATTTTACTTTTATTCTTCCGGATAAAAAGATATTTTCAAAATTAGACATCAATAGAAGTTATCATTTTATACCTGTCGCACCAGGTGACGTGGAGAAAACCGCTATCATAACACCATTCGGACTTTTCGAGTTTCCTCGAATGACCTTCGGTTTGCGCGGAGCAGCACAAACCTTCCAGCGCTTTATGAACTCCATTTTACAAGGTCTTGATTTTGTTTTTTGTTATTTAGACGACTTACTTATAGCTAGTGACAACGAAGTTCAACACAGGCAACATTTATAAATTATTTTTAAAAGGCTTAATAAATATGGAATTTCAATTAATTTGGCAAAATGTCGTTTCGGACAAACTAAACTAGAATTTTTAGGACACGAGATTAGTACCGACGGCGTCAGGCCGTTGCAAGATAAGGTTCAGGCAATTGTGGAATTTTCGAAGCCGAAAACTGTTGCAGAACTAAGACGTTTTCTCGGTATGGTCAATTTTTATCGAGCTCATCTTCCC